AAGTTATCCGCGTGAACGCAGACGAGTCACCTAGTAAACCTAATAAAAATGATATTCTACTAATTAACCCAATCTTTGTATGTTTTTTCATCCCCTACATGTTTTGCTGTAAAATAATAAAAATTAGTTATATTAAGCTATCATACGAAGACCATACAACTGTATTTAGCAAATAAATAAATAAATTACACAACTATAGTCGGAAGATCAACTTCATAAAGAGACTCTTCAAATGAGTTTTTTGAAAAACTTACAAAATTTCATATGAGTTTTTTACTATACATTTTTAACTTTTTTCTTTTAGTTTCTACAACAACATGTCAAACAATTGGTCCTAATCTAATACAGTAAATTAAAAATTATAATGAATCTTTGATCTAACGGCTATATAACTTATGTTCATACAATTTGCCATGTTTGAGACCGTCGTTCGCAATGAATTAAGTCTCTTTTTTTGTCGGCAATTCAATTTCATTGCTAAAGTCCAATGTGTAAAATACATAAGGGCTTACCTCATTAGATGATTATAAGCAAAATTAACAGCCCAAAAACTAAATCATAATTTAATCAACATATAATGTTAATATGCAATTATGATTTAAAGCTAGACACAATTATGATATAACGCACAATTCATCTACCACCACCGTCAACATTCGCTTGACACTGCCAAACTCCGATTAGCTGTCAATCAGCCATGGAGCGATGATAATCCTCTTCCCTTATGCCGATCTAAAATCCAATATAAGAAAGCGCCAAAATCTACCGGATCGATCATTGAAGCCGCTTTGGAATTTCTTCGAGAAACACATTGATGTAGTCTGAGATCCGTCTTTGTTCCTACGTCATGAGCAAAAGGAGAGTGACGAAGATATTACTAGTTGAGCTATGACAGAAATCGGAGATTGGAAGTTTATTTATCCGATTAAAACGAAAAACAAAATCCGATATGACAGACGGGATATGTCACTTTATTTCAATAGACCTTTTTCAAAAAAAAAAAAAAAATTGTTTTCAAAAACTTAGT